CTCAACTACGGGCCCTGTTTTCAAAACGTGACGTCCATATCAACTCATCAGAACTCATGTATCAGCAAGATTCGCATTCCCGATACGAAGTCAAAGATGCCGGCAAACTTTGAGTATCCTCACATTACTAGAACAAGAAGAAAGAGAAAACTCGCACACCAATGGCCGTAGACATTGACTGAACCCCCCATTTGCTTTTATACCACCCTTCAATTTTTGTCCAATCCACACGCATCCCAGGGTCCACCCACGTCCCAGGTTCCAAACAATAACCCAGGCGTTCAAAGGGGCTCATTCATAAGAGATGGAGCTCTTCGCAGTCAGCCCTTCTTCGAGCTGCGTGTCGGTGCGATGGTGCTTGGGCGGCCTCTTGCGCAGTTTATTCGGTGATCGCGAAACAGACGAGGAGAAGCTGACGCGGAGCTTCAGTCACCACGCGTTGCGGTCCCAGTTGGGATCTGTCCCAAAATCACGTCAGTTCATGCCTTCTACGCCTCGATATCGTTGCAATCCACCCCGATAGCCAAGCGCAGCATCACCAAAGACTGTGCGTAGATAATCACAAGCCAGAAAGCCAGCCCTTACCTTGAACAAAAGCGGCCAAGACCTTGCTGCCCGTCTGCAGAAGCGGGTGTCCGACGACGATGCGCAAGAACTTTTCGAGGCCGGCGCGGCGGCCCTCGATGACGTCGTCGCTGAAGCGGTTCGTAAACACCTTGCCGGGCAAGGGCGGGATGGTGACGCGGGCGCTCTCGCGCTCGAGGATGTCGCGGAAGTACTCAAAGTCGGAGTAGCGGCGGCGCACGCTCGAGGCGCGGAGCTTGAAGGCGGGGATGTTGGTGCGGCAGACAATCTCGTAGTCGGTGTACATGCTGCGGCCCATGCCGTGGGTTCTGGGGTTGCGGACCTAGAGGGGAAAGGAGGTTTGTTAGATTGTGTGAACTAGATCCCTTGCTTCTGGGCGCATGCGACAATGGCCGGGCAGGCGAGCCGTGGGAAGGGCGAATAGAGAGCATTGGAGAGGGATTATCGTGACAGGCTAGAGAGGACCGGGGGTTGCGCTGCAGCTGTGGAAAGCTTGCTGGACGTTTCTCACCTCGATCTCGAGAAAGTTCTCCGGCGGGCCGTAGATTTCGTCAAAAGACTGTTGTCGGTTATCCGGCATTGCCTGCATGATGGGCCGGTGAAAGCGCGGCGAGGCCTGTGATCCGGTCGGGGAGGTGGGAGAAGTGGGCTCAGCGCTGGGAGCGCGAGCGGCGTTCTGGCTTCCGGAATCCGTTTTGGCGGCTTTGTCCTCGGTGGGAAGAGGGGAGTTGCGGTCGGCGAGGCGGCTGTTTGTTTCTCACGTTCTTTCGCGCGAGGGATGGGCGGGGGAGAGGGCGTGGAGTCTGTCGTCGAGGTACGGTATGCGCAAGCGCGATATCGGGTTCGGTGGAAACGGCTGCTCTCTTCTGTGCTGACTGCTGTTCCGGGATACCCTGCTCCTTCTCTTTCCTGTAGCTATTGTCTGCTACGAACCGGTGAGACTTGTCGTGTGACTGGGACCTTTGTTCCGAGGCGAGGCGATGTGAGGTGAAGTTGGGTTGTTCGTTGTGGGAAAAAATGTCGAGGTGGGAGGGAGGTGGGGGAATCAAGGCGGGTGCGAAGTGCGGCCGATTACGACAAAAATGGGTGGCAGCAATCAAGCAGTGTGCGGCGTGGTTTACCTTGGTCCTTGGGTGCCTGTCACCTTACTGTAGCTGGTGGAATTGCGGGGGAGCGATATGACGAACGCCAGTCCCGGCCGCTGCCGCAACAGACCGGTTTGCTTGATTATTGGGAGGAGGAGGCTGAGCCGATGCGCCGTCTGAGGGTACGAGGTGGGGGGCACTTCCTCGTAACTGTGAGCGGTACGGACAGCGGTACGGGGTAGCGCTGCCCAATTGAGCAGGTGGGGGTGCCTTGTGGACCGGGACGTATTTCTGGAGTTCCCAAGTGCACAGCAAGTAAGGGTAAGTAACTACTCAGTTATACACACCACTTTCACTTCGATTGAACGAGTCTGGGTGTGTAGCAAGGAAAGTAAAACTGGACTGTTGGTTCAATGGTCTTCCTTTCTTTCCTCGCATTTTATAAGTTTCACAGGACTCCCTGGGTTCCAACCAAATCTCAAGCTGCTGTTGGAATTAAGGTTGGATTCGTGTTGCTAAAATAGATATCTTTTACCCCATTCAGCAGAACCCCAACTTTTCTGAACTACCTTTCTTTCTGCAGATCGCCCTCATTGTATCTTAGCCTCGTGTGCCATATTCGTCCACTCCTCGATGCTAGCATACAAATACATTCATTGACCACCAGCAGGTGCAGTGTGTATGTTGGACCACTGCTAAGGCACCCTGCTCACGTCTCGCGGCCAGTGGGCCTCGACCATTCCAGTCTTCCGGCGTCGGGATCACACTGCTCGCCGCAGCAGACGCCATAGACCGGTGGTAAATGGGTAGGATGATGCTGGGGCGACATGAGTCCTCTGAAAATAAGCAACCAGTAAACGCCGAGTTCTCACCTCCAAGCCAATCCTCTATTCGTGTTTGTACACTGAATCCGCCACGTTCCCGAAGCCTGGTTCTGACAGCTTCAGCTTCAGTAACCTCCTCCAGCCGAAGGAGTTCACGCCGTCATTTCATGTCCGAAATGCTCACGACCTCAGACTTTGGCATCTGAGACGTGCGTCTTGCCCGATCGATCCAGCCATCGTTGGCCCCTACCCGCTCACTTCTTGTCCGCAAATCTCTGGTGAATAGCACGGATCTGCTCCTCGACATTCAGGTTGTGCAGGTGGTTGATGTGAGCCTGGCTCTTGCCATCAGGATTACCATCGAAACTATGAATCGTGGCCTTTTTGCGCCGAGCAGCCTCTTCTTCCGACAGGGGTTGGCCGGTGACGCCGTCAAAGACGTCGCTTCTCTGACTGGCAAGTCGCTTCAAGTTGTTTGCGACATCCGCCGTGGACAAGTTGGTCGTGGAGTATCTAGCTTCTGCCTTTGCCTTTTGGTCCTTCCATTGAGGGTCCAGCAGTTCAACTACAGAAACTGTTAGCAAAATTCAAATTTCATTCTGCAAGGCAGATGTCAGGCTTACTCCTCATATGATCCTGCAGCTCATCCATGGGAATTTGCTGCTTGCAGTTCGGGCATAGTGCCATCTGGACACTCTGTTTGTTGGCCGCTCGTTGGAGTGCGCGGGGCACGTAGTTCTCTTTAATCTTCATCGGAGCAGTTCCGCCACGAGCTTCAGCGCGTGCTTGTTGTTCCCGGGCACGTGCCTCTGTCCTCTCCTGGATCCTCCGCTCTTCCTCCTCCTCTTCTGCTGATCGTCGCGGTGTGCCGTCTGGATATCCTTGGAAGCCTACTGGGGCTTGCGCCTGGAATTGCTGCTGCTGCTGCTGAGGCGCATAGCCAGTGTGAACTGGTAACGTCTGAGAGGTCTGGGGGTAGGCGTTGTACGAGGTCTCCTCATCGGGCATGGCCTCCTCAATGCGAAGATTGGTTAATGATGCCTTGTTCCTCTCCTCAAGGGAAGCGTATTGCAGTTCGGAAAGATTCGTCGGAGGCGGCAGGTTCGCGGACTCGTCGGCATCTGTGAAGACAATAGTCTCGACAACCACAAAGTCGTTCCAGTCGATCCGGGCAAACTCAAGCTTCTTCTTCTCGTCTTCCTCCTCTTTCTTTACCTTCTCAACTTCCTGGAACTTTGAGTACTCGGCACGTTGCTTCGCGCGGCTCAGAACATGGTACTTGTCGTCGATGTTTTGCTGGATATGGTTGATCCTCTCTTGCTCAATCTTGCCGCCTTCGCCACCCAAGCCGCTGGCTCTCAATAACGCTGTGTACTGGTCGACCTGATGTTGGAAAAAGTTGTGGAACGTGTGGTTCGGAATGAGGAATTGGAACTGGGGGTTGCCGGCCTCGCGTTGGGCGAGCTGGGTCATAAACTGGCGACCATTCTTCGCGACAAATAGGGCGGTCAATCGGATGACCTCGAGATCCTTCTGATTGATGCGCGGCATGCGGGCCGAGAACTGGAAATCGGGAGGCTTGGGCGGGCCTTGGGGCTTCTGCTCGACGGGTGCTGCTGCTTCGTTGGCGCGTCCTGCTGCGATGGCGGTGCCGCGGCCGGCCTTGATCTCATCAAGGCGCCACTGATAGAATGCATGGTATGCGTCGGTGTTGTTAAGGAAACTGAATTTGGGGTTGGAGCGCTCCTTTTCGCGAATTCTGTCCTCAAAGATGAGACCGTTTCGCGCAACGTAACCTGCCGTCTTTTCGAGAACATTACGAATCTCGCGAGGCGGCAGAACAACACCGGTAGGAGGCTTGAGTTCGTCCAACACGGCGGCGGCGTCGCCGTTCGTCGCAGTCGAGGCCATGTTGTGTGAGGAGGGCGCTCGCAGTTCGGAATGATGTCGTCAGGAGGCGGCGCGTTGGGTGGAAGTCGAAACGAAGGCAAAGCTCACCAGCCGCGTTCGTTAACTTTTTTCGGAGGTTCCCAGGCAACCTCGACGCCGAACCGGCTGGCAAGTATCTTAGTCAGCCGATTTTTGGGAGGACGCGGTGCACGGGCCATACTGGTTTCCACCTGCATATTCGTCGCATTTGGCCATCTTGGGTCCTGTGAACAACCTCAGGTGGCAGGTGGTTCTCCATGACACCTATCTTACCTTCATAGTGAACAATGTTGCTCATTATCTTCACCAAGGCCCATGGCGTGGCGGGGAATGTCCTCGTTTGAATTGCCCCGCTCCCATGGGTCACGAGTCCGAGTCTCGTGAAAAATCGCTAGTATCGTTATAGGTTACAACTGAGGGATAGTACGTAACAATGATCTAGTGATTTTCGTAGGCTCCCCGTGAGGGGGGCTGAGCTTTTGCATCTTTCTTCCAATGAATGATGGATGATGATATCTTTTGGTCTAGACTCTTCTTATCGATGTGGAAGTAAGTAGGTAAGTCTGTTGGTCCTCGGAGTGCCGTCAAGCTTCTCTCACTTACACCACGGCAGTGCGTTAACCACTTCTTCCGAACCCCCGGCCTTTCAAGAGTTTGGTTGACATCTTTTGCATGAACCAAGATCGATGGTCTTGAGTAAGTTCTGAGCCAATCATGATTTCTGCTTCTAGGAGTTGTCTCAAAGCGGGAAGCAAGGGATTGTCATCAGAGGCATATGTCTAAGAATGAAGGGATGCCGTTGAAGCTGCATTCCGATATCCCAAATTCCACCTGCTCACATACCTTGGCGAGGCATTGAACAGCCGCTCAACGCGTGCCACTCGCTCTCCAGCCCTTTGAGGCTCGAGCAAGGTGGCTTTATGATGTCTCGAGGCTGGCCAGTTATTCACCAGAGGCAGAAAGGCTAGTTGGTGGCCATGGCGATGTTTTCATCGCGTTCTGCATATGGGGGCTAAAATCGACGTCGAAACCTCCATATGCGGTGCGTAACACTGCTGCAATGGAAATAGATTGTGGGGCCATTTGGTGCAGTTGAGAAGGATAGGCCTAGGTGAAGTTGTGTGAGGTAGAGTTGCCTTATGTACGCCGTCTCTTTTTCAGCCGCATTGCACCGGTGCACAGGCCAGCGTCCATCAATAGTGGACATGGAGAGCATGGATGGGGTCCATGGCGCCAGTGCGTCTACGCCTAGGCGGATGAAAAGCTGAACTCTGTCAGTACCTAGTTGGGATAGGTACCTTAGGTATTTGAGGCCGGGCGCAGAAAGAACAATGGGCAGCCACAGCACGTCTCCCGCCGTCTACATTTGGCGCTAGAGGAGCACGGGTACGCGGCCGGAGCTAAGATAACGCAGCTCCAAAGCAGGTACTCCAAGACATTGGACGGGCTAAAATTTATTTTATCTCCAAGGTACGTTTATGGATAGCTCTCTCGTGTTAAGGACACTTGTCCAACAACAACCGTGTCTTCTTGTACGTTAGATCGAGGACAAGATCAATGGAGAGTATTGCGCTCTGACGGTTATGTGGAGGAACATCTAAACAATACCTACCTTACGGTGTAGGTATGAGTAGTTGGGGTCCAGGGCTTCGCTACCACCTCACATGCTGATTGACAATCAATCGGTACCACCGTGAAGCGCGTAAAGTGCTTCTGACCTCAGATTGGCAAACTTCCAAAGATAACCCCCGGCGCATCGGTGGGGTGTAAGGTGGTCCAAATATACGCGTCCACGGGTCCCCCCCTTACCCGAGCTTTTTAGGGATCACGTTCACTGTCAATTCGAGCAGCATGTCGGTGTACCTCACGGACTACTTTGACCACTGACATGATTCTATTCCTTTCATAAGTGAGATGGTAGTGTAATGGAGGTAGTGAGCGCCCAAAAGAGAAGCGTCTGCCCTGCTTGTCCGCACGTCTACTCCGGACTGAGTGCCCGTACTATCTACTGTCTAAGGGGTCGACCCAGCCGTAGGGAATCGTGGGAAGGGGGGCGTGGATGGACTCAAGGGGGGAGGGGGATCACTGGATGGAGCCAGGAAGGTCCCAGGCAGGCCCTAGCTTCAACCAATTGCTGGCTGTCAAACCACATGGGATGAGGCCACTTAAGCTACAACTCCGACCCTGACCCCCTTATCCTCCCTTCCAGCCTGGCCTCCCCCCCAGCTGTCATCAGCTTCCGCGGTGTAAACTTTCCGCCAGGCAGTGAACCCAGATTCTACCTTAACAGTTACTTCGTTTCTCTACGGATACCTGCCCCTGCTCCCTTTTTCTTCCATCTACCTTACTCCAACCAGGAAGAAAAAGCATCCTCCTTTTTTTTTCTTCTTGTTCCATTGAGGGCATTCTTCTACTGAGCCCGTCATTCACCTTTGCTAAATGACGGCCTTTTAATCCACCTCTTCCCTTCTCGACTTTCGTTGATCCCTTTTCCCACTTCTCTGCCACTCGATCGACGCGAGAAAACCTCGCCTACAATTCTCACCTTGCTAGGTGCTGACGACCGCTCTCCGCCTTCGTCGTCCACGTCGCCCGCTACCAAGTCGTAGCTGCCGTCGACGTTGAGTGGACGACATTTGCGCCCGCCCCGAATAGTCCGACCCTCCCCCCGCGAATCGATACTCCTTCTCTGCGAACATGGCTGCCACCAAGCCAGTTCGCTCTCCGAGCCCCAAGCTCGAGAAGCAGGCCAACGGTGTCAACGGCATCAATGGCAACGGCAATGGCCATAGCAAACTCCCCCTCAAGCGCGAGTCGAGCTACAAGTCCGACGGTGTTGAGGACAACGATGTCTTCCTCCTGCCTGTTTCCGACTACCAGATCATGTTTGGCTTGACCATCCTCGCCGCCATCGTTCGCCTGTTCCGAATCTACCAGCCCACCAGTGTCGTCTTTGACGAGGTCCAGTAAGCACACATATACCCCCTTGCCTCCCTTTCCGCGCATTGTAGCTGACGCCTTCGCTCTACAGTTTCGGTGGCTTCGCTTCGAAATACATCAAGGGCAAATTCTTCATGGATGTCCACCCTCCTCTGGCCAAGATGCTCATCGCTCTCACCGGTTGGTTGGCTGGTTTCAACGGCGACTTCGACTTCAAGGACATTGGCAAGGACTACCTTGAGCCCGGCGTTCCCTACGTCGCCATGCGCATGTTCCCGGCCATTTGCGGTATCCTGCTCGCCCCTCTCATGTTTCTGACTCTCAAGACCACCGGATGCCGCACCACTACGGCTCTGATGGGGTCCAGTCTCATCATCTTCGGTAAGTGCAAAGTGCCTCCTCACGCATATACGAATCACTGACCAACACTCCTTCCAGAGAACGGCCTTCTTACCCAAGCTCGTCTCATTCTCCTCGACTCTCCCCTCATGGTCGCAACCGCCTTTACCGCCCTCTCCTTCCAGTCTTTCACGAACCAGCATGAGCAGGGACCCGAGAAAGCTTTCCAGTTGAGCTGGTGGTTCTGGCTCCTGATGACTGGCCTGGGTCTGGGTACCACCGTCAGCATCAAATGGGTTGGTCTATTCACCATTGCCTGGGTTGGAAGCTTGACCCTCGTCCAGCTTTGGGTTCTCCTTGGAGACACCAAGAACGTTACGCCGCGCATCTGGGCCAAGCACTTCATGGCTCGCGCCTTCGCCCTCGTCATCATCCCCGTCGGCTTCTACATGGCCATGTTTGCCATTCACTTCCTTTGCCTGGTCAACCCTGGTGACGGCGACGGCTTCATGAGCTCAGAGTTCCAGTCTACTCTCAACTCCAAGGGCATGCAAGATGTGGCCGCCGACGTCGCTTTCGGTAGCCGTGTCAGCATCAGACACGCCAACACACAGGGCGGCTACCTGCACTCCCATCCCCTCATGTACCCCACCGGTAGCAAGCAGCAGCAGATCACTCTCTACCCCCACAAGGATGAGAATAACCTTTGGCTCCTCGAGAACCAGACCCAGCCTCTTGGAATCAACGGCGAGCAGATCAACGGAACTCAAGCCTGGGACAACCTCCCCGAGCCTGTCTTTATCAAGGATGGCGATGTCGTTCGCCTTTACCACACTCCCACATTCCGTCGTCTTCACTCCCACGATGTCAGACCCCCTGTGACGGAGGCTGACTGGCAGAACGAGGTGTCCGCTTACGGCTACGAGGGCTTCGAGGGCGACGCCAACGACTTGTTCAAGATTGAGATTATCAAAAAGCAGTCCCTCAGCGCCGCCTCCAAGGAGCGTCTTCGCACTATCGAGACCAAGTTCAGATTGGTTCACATCATGACTGGCTGTGTACTCTTCTCCCACAAGGTCAAGCTCCCTGAGTGGGCCTCTGAGCAACAGGAGGTCACTTGCGCAAAGGGAGGTACCCTTCCCAATAGCTTGTGGTATGTCGAGTACAACGAGCACCCGCAACTCACCGGCGACAATGTCGAGAAGGTCAACTACCGTCACCCTGGCTTCTTTGGCAAGTTCTGGGAGCTTCAAAAGGTCATGTGGAAGACCAACGCCGGCTTGGTCGAGTCTCACGCCTGGGACTCGCGTCCTGACTCGTGGCCCTTCCTCAAGCGCGGTATCAACTTCTGGGGCAAGGATCACCGCCAGATCTACCTGATGGGCAACCCCATCGTGTGGTGGAGCTCTACCCTTGCTGTCGTTATCTACGTTCTCTTCAAGGGCATCGCGACTCTCCGCTGGCAGCGCAGCTGCAACGACTACTCCAACACCACGTTCAAGCGATTCGACTACGAGATCGGCACTGCGGTTCTGGGCTGGGCTTTCCACTACTTCCCGTTCTACCTCATGGACCGTCAGCTGTTCCTTCACCACTACTTCCCCGCCCTCTACTTCGCAGTCATGGCATTCTGCTCCATCTTTGACTTCGCCACCGCTCGAGTCTCGCTCGCTGGTATCCGCAAGAACCCTGCCATCAACCGCGTCAGCGCTGTTGCCTTCTTGGCGCTCACGATCGTCGCTTTCGTGCTCTTCTCTCCTTTGGCTTATGGTAACGCCTGGACCAAGTCTGAGTGCAGCCGGCTCAAGGTTGTTGGCACATGGGATTTCGACTGCAACAACTTCTTTGACGACGTAAGTAACACTACTGCTTTCATTCCGAGTAGAGGGGTACCGGATAGGGGGTTGTAAGAGCCAGTGATGAGATGAGACAAATCTTGGCTCAGGTGGGATCGATGTTGAGAAACGGTTGATAGCCAATTGAAACGAGATTTGTCAAAGCATCTTTGGTAGGGCTTGTGAATATGATGGAATGAGGCTAACATCACTTTCTGGCATTACAGTACTCTCAATACACTGAGCTCCTCACTCGCACTTCCGCCGCTGTTGGAGCCACGCCGACGCCTATCAAATCTGAGGCTCCCGCCGCCCCTGTAGGTGGTCAAGTCGGTCAGATTCCCATTGGCGAGGCTCAGAAGGAGCAGGCTGAGCCGGCCGTCTCGGGAGCCCCTGGACAGAAGGTTCTGTCCCGCGAAGAGAAGGTTGAGTACCGGGACCAGGACGGCAACCTCCTCGACGAGGCGCAGGTGAAGGCGTTGGAGGGCAAGGTCGAGTTCAAGACGAAGTACGAGACGCGGACACGCGTCGTTGACGCAAGTGGAAACGAGGTGCAGATGCCCGAGGGCGGTTTGCCCCAAGAGCAGAACGTCGCTCCTCCTCACCCTGACGTTCAGGGCGTCGACCAAGAGACCAAGTCCAAGGCCGACGACTCAGCCGCGGCGCCCAAGGTCGCCGAGAGCGTCCAGGGCCAGAGGGAGGCCGAGCAGAAGAAGGCCAAGCCCGCAAGTGATGGCGGCAAGGAGGCTACTGCTCAGGAGGAGCTCTGAACTCTAAACTTGAAGAAAAAGAAGGTGATAAAAAAAAATCCGGGGCTGGACTGTAATGGCCTGATGAGAGGGGAAAGTTTGATCAAATTCATCTTTTGATCTCACGGATTTTCTCGCTTTCTGCGTCGCAATTCGCCCCGTTGTATACCAGCCGTGAATGGGAGCGGACAAGACGGGATGGTGGAAATGGGGGTCGGCCACAAAACGCCGAAGCTTTGTGTTTTTTTTTTCCATTTGTTAATGTAAGATTCCAAAAAGAAATGACATGTCCAATCAATGCTGCTCCTAGGTGACTTGCCAAAGATACTCACCCGGAACCTTAATGTGTCTCTTGTATCTCGACGATGGAGCCTACGGCGGCCACAGCCACTGGAAACTGAGTTGGAATAAGATGCGTCTTATTCAACGGTAGTCATTATACCTTTCACCATAGGAATGAAAAGGCTCTCTCACAGTTCAGGTTGCAATGCAAATAGACAGGTTTTGAAGGTTCATCCAATGCTCGAGGCATCATCATCTTTGGCATTAATAAGAAGGCATTACGATGCAGTAACCTTGTGTCTGTGATCCCCCCCTCCCATCCCCTTTTGTTCCTGTTGTTTGTCTAGCAACTTTGCCTGCTTTAATCCAGCCTTCTTCTCCTGCTCCCATGACGGCAACTGTTTGCTTGTCCTCCCTTTTTTCGGAATGGGACACAGTTTTTGCTCTCCAAAACGCCAATGCCCCCTTCCTAAATGGATGCCCAGAACGATGAAGAAAAAAAAGAAATAGGTGAATTTTGCACCCTCTGTCCATCCTATTGTCACGGTTCCGTGAATTCGCTCTGCCTCTTCCTTGGCTCCCCATGTTGTTCTCCCGTTTGGTCTTCATTATGAGCCCCGGCATTTCTGCAATGGTGGCGTAGGGTGTAATTAATACAGTATCGAAGATTAAGTGTATGTGGTGCGTATCAGAAATCGGGGATCGATCGTTACGATAAGTCGCTCATGATTATGCTGTGGCTTCGACCTTTTCCTCGGTTGTCGCAACGATAATTTGCTGCTCCTCTTGGATGGGAATATTGATAGACAGTCGATTCTCGCCGTCCTTCTCTGCAATAGAGCCCTTCTCTGGCGAAGACGATAGTGTTGAGTTTCGATTACTCGGGCAAGGCGTCTCTGGTCTTGCTAATGTCTCCTCGGCATCCAGCTGGCTGGCCGTCTCCTCGAGGGGAGTGGCAAAGGGAGTAGCGTCATCATTGATGTTCGCCGAAGGCGTCACTGCCACCTCTGGTCCAATGTCTCTAGAGTCGCTCTCATGGCTATTTCGAGGGCTCTTCTCCAGGGGTAGTGAGTGATGATGACTGGCCGGGACGACGCCACCACCGATTCGGGACCAAAACATCTGTTCCCGCAGGCGAACGCTTTCCTCCCAGGCGGCCTTCTCTGCGTCTTCGTCCTCCGCTCGCCAGTGCCCGTCTTTTACGATACGCAAAAAGTTGAGGAAATCGCACGTTGACCTCACACGACCTAAGCAATATTTGCAAAGAGGGTATCTCTGAGCTGATTCAGACTCGCTGGTTCGGAAACGGTATGTTCGCAGGTGCTCTTCATCCTTCCGTGCGTCGCCACACAGGGAACAGGGGTAGAACTGCGGCTTGACAATTGAGGCAAAGGGCGCATTGGCAGGAATTGGCTCCACCACGATTGAGCCATCACTCATGGCATTCAAAACGCTGCGACGCGCAAGCCAGGACAGGCCCGGGGCGATATCCAGTCGGAGTGTCGGCTCAACATCCTCTGCCAGGACACGCTTGAAAAACTTGGTTTCCTTGAGAGCCGGCGGGGGCGGGCCCACGTTGGCTGAGGCCGTGCTTGAGACAGAAGCTGGGGTATTCGGGGTCTGCGGCGATGACGTAGCCGGAGTCCCAGCCGTGGATAGGGAAGCAGTTGATGCATTGGAAGGGTGAGCGCTTGAGGTGCTGCCGCCCATGCCGAGACCCAACCCACTCAGACCGTTATATGAGCCAGACGAAACACGGCTACCAGCGCGATTCCTGGACAGCTTTGTGAGGCTAAGAAAGTCCTCGTAAGCTCCCAGATCAGTCCTAAGAACTGGCTGAATGAGATGCGTCAAGCTAGTAGGGTACGTCGGCGAAGACGGATCCAAGAGAGGCGAAGCGACGAGGCCTTCTGAGCGATCATCATCTTTCGTGATATCGGGTTTACTAAAGCCGGGAGAGGAGGGAGCTGTGCCGGTTGTAGCATCATCTCTTTCGAGCATCATCTGCTCCATGACGTGCTTTAGGTCTGCTAGTTGCTGTTGTTGAGAGGTCAGCAAGGCCTCCATATCGCCAAGCTGAGATCTCAGATTGTCGTTCTTTCGTTGGATGGCCTCCTGCTCTACCCTCGCCTCCTCTTTCGCAGTGATGACCATGTTGTTGGCCTCCTCGAATAAAGCCGTGGAAAGACTCTCCAACTCTTGTTCAATCCTCTTTTGCTCCTTCTCGGCATCCTCTCGGAGTTTCTTCTCTTGGTTCACACGGAGCATGATGGTCTTCTTTTCTTCCTCTGCGGTCTTGCGACGAATCCAAATATCGCCCGCAAGCATCTCTCTTTGAGATTCGTTCTGTTCTTCTAAATGCTTGATTTTCTCGCGTGCTCTTTCCAACTCTTGTCTTGTGGCGGATAATGTGTCGTCGAGGGTTGTCTGGTGGTTGATGGCGTTTATTAACTTGGCGCTCAGGGTTGCGACTTCGTCATTCAGCTCGGGATGCTGAGCAGCATCGGCTTCACTAGCGGGACTCATAGCCCGGCTGCGGGGGTCAGGTAGCGTACTCAGCTCGCCGTCATCGTCTGGGGGTGTCACTGTTGTCGTGGGTCGAAGTGTCGGCGATGATGCTACTGAGGAAGACATGATGGGCATGTCGACAACGGAAGGTGCTTGACTCGTCGTTTTGGTGGCTCGGGGGCTTGGTGACGGAGATCGAGCTATTGAAGAGAGAGATCGAAAATGGCCAAAAGGTCTTCCACCGGGTTGAGGGCTGGTATGTTGTGCCCAGCCAGCGACGGCGATAAAGCTGTGCCACACAAGATTAGTTACAGCCATTTGACGGCGCTGAGTGCAAAGTGCAAGCCGGTGCTGATCGCGGCTTTCTCGAGCTGACCGGGCAGAGACAAGAGAAAGAACACGAGAGGCATGGCCCGGTTATTGAAGGATGAGAGACATACGAATCCATTCCCTCTGAATTTGCCAGCCCGCTTGGGACGAGAGACAGAAGCTACCAAGTATGTACTTGGGTAATTGGGGTTGTTGGATGGTGAGACAATGCGTTGGCAAGAGCTGGCACCACCTTAGATGAGATGGGTCTAACAGCAGGCGCGAGGCGTATGACAAGCAGCAAGCGACTGGCAGGCGGAATGCACGGTAGCCAATGCCGATTGATTGGTGCTAGCAATCAAACTGGGGCCGAAGTGGAAGGGCCGGAATGGGGGCGTTGGCCTTTAGATATCGCAAGAGACCATGGCGGTGCGAGCTATGGAGGTTGAGACGCGGATTCTCCTCTCTGGCTATGTGCAAAGATGGCGTGTGGGTGTGTATCTGTGTGAGGATGGGTCGGAATTAGGCGTGGTCGTGAGGCAGTTCGTGATCGTGAGAGATTGGCGGACGAGGCGGGTCACTGTAGGTTGTAGTAAGTAGTAGGAAAGGTGAGGGGGCTGTTGGGATAGTTAGGAATAGGAAGGAAGAGGAGAAGAAGAGGCGAGGTGACAGGTCGAAGCCGAGCAGCGGAGCAGCCTTGGACTTTGAGTGTTTTCGGCGTGGTTGGCAGGAGCCGAGTAAGCAGGCGGGAAGTACGGTGGTAAGGTAGCAGTGGTGGCAGAGCAAAAGAGCCCAGGCGGCGGCGGCAAAGTGAATAGAGCACCAGCCAGCGAGAGAGAATAGGATGAGAGAAAGACTGGGGACCCGAGAGGCCATGACCAGTGACAGGGACCAGGACTGGAACTGGGCGGGTGACATGGGTGGTATTGGACGGGTCGAGCGTGAGGAGCACGGCGTGGACGGTGGTGAGCAGCGCGCGACAGGGACCAGATGTCGAACTTGCGCTTGCCAACTTCCATTGTGGGTGGCAGGTGCGGAGCGCAGACCAGACTTCACCCGGACAGGCAGGCAGACAGGCAGGCACTGGCCAGCAGCGTCAGTCGGTCCTGCCACAAGACGGGAGACGGGCACGACGGGCAAGAGAGAGAGAGAGAAAGAACCTCCAGCGCCTTCCCAGTGCCTCCTTGGGACTGGACCGGGCGGGGCGGAACCGGACTGGACAGGCGTGGGATCGTGGTTGTGGATGCATCGAATAGCAAGGAGGGTGTGGGTCTGCACAAGAGCAGGGGTGGGGGCGGTGCAATCGCTGGGACTGGGACGGGTCCGAAAGGGTTCTAGGTTAAAGTACCTGCAGTCTCGATGCTCACTCACCTCAGCTTTCAATCCAGCGGTTATTCTCAAATGCGGTCATGTCATTTACTCATGTTGTTTTGACAAGTATGCAAGCTAGAGGTTTGCAGTGTTTGCCCTGTCGTGCAGCCCAAACTGCATTTTGTCTCAAGCTCCTTCATGTAGGTGCCTTGATAGTATTGATCTTACTCAGCTCCAGATGTTCCCCTCACCAGCCATCAGTCATTGATACACCACACTAATACTCGGTAGACATAAGCAAGTTGTGCACGAGCAGGGGTTAGGAGGTCGGCCATGAGGTAGCGGCCTGGTGGCAGGTGAGCTAGCCGAGTGTGACGACGTGACGACAACGAGACAGAAGCGATTGACACGATGGACACGATTGAATACCACTTCCACACTTCGTACAGCTGCACATGTCTTCCCGTCCCATACCATTCCATCCCGTCGCGTGTTCAACACCGGGGCTGTCGGTCGGTCGGTCGGTCTTTCGGTACAGAAGACGCTAAGGCAAGACAGAAAGCTGCAAATGATCTCGCGGTGGGGAACTGGGGCCATCGGTTTGGTCGGGAGCACCTGGTCACAATGTTCAAGACAAGTTCGCCATTCAACTGTCATTGTGGACCTTGCTTTTTTGGCCGTTAGCTAGCCTTGAACATGACACTCACGATTCTCGCATCTTTTTCGCACGTCTTGCACCGGGGGCCGGTCAGTTGCCAATGTGGGCAGACAGACCTTGGCCGCTGGAGATGACGACCACCTTTTCAAAGTAGTGATTCGCTTTCGCCCCCTTTGCGCGCTTTCTCCCACGGGCCAAGCTCTCTCAATCCCGTCACAGCCACAACTCAATTAAAAAAAAACCACCCAGCTCCGTCATTACACCTCTAGTCCCTGATTTCCATCGGCGCTGCTGCCGACAGGCCCGCACGTCCAACACTTACGCAGCAAGGTAGTTCGTACCGATGCGATGCGAGCTGAGCTGGATCACACACTCGTCACTGACTATTGGATCTACTACACGGCATGCGACGATCAAGAAGCGATTTAAGGCGCGGGCGCGCGCATGAATCGGAAGACGATTTCAAATGGCGTTGTGTGCGAGTGCGAGACTGGCTTTTTAATCACCCTCCATGTAAACCAAATACCCAGGAAGAAAAACAATTCCTTATTTGAGAAAACAGAAAGCAAGTCTACCAATCAGCGAGTCGGTGGTAGTGAGTTATGGCAATGAGATGAAAACGTCTCAAGTTCCTCCCGCAAGTAATCCAATTTAATTCACCTCGGGTTTACTTCAATTCGGCCAAATTCCTCAGCGCATTCCCCTTCGCTCCCTCTCTCGCTGCCCGCCTTATGCAAACGACGGGAGTGATGGGAACCTTGGTAGGCACTTTCATTACCTAGGTACCTCCCACCACTCGAGTTCAATGATTGTTGCAGCACGTGGTTTCCCTTAGCACGTGGTTTTCTTTCCCAAAGGTACCTGCCTCACTTCTAGGTACTTCCTCTTCGTCTTCCCGCTGTGCCGAGTGGCTGCAGCTTTTGGCAGCAGCGAAGAGCAGAGACAAGAAAGAAGGCAAAAAAAGGGAAAGAGCACGGACGCCGGGCTGGTCTCAGCTGGGCAGGTATCTTCAAGTGGTCAAAGTTATGAACGCCTGTCGTTTATACGGCTACTCTTTCCCGGTGTTTATGCATGGATTGTCCATCTTATGTGCCTTAGTCAGCCGCCAGAATCCCTCCTTCCCAGCAGGTAAGGATCCCACGTTCCTTTCCATTTCGTTTCCGCGGACCACAGAGACCCAGAGTTTCCAGAATCGCGAGAGCCAAGGCTCAAAGAAAAGGTGAACCTGATCCTCCCGCCGTCTCCCAGAGTCCCTCCACCCAGAACCCAGGGCTCTACAGCCTCAAGGTTCCTCAACTCCCTACCCTTTTGCATTTACCTGCCGCTCGCCTGCACATGCAAACGTTGGCCCCACCGAATTGAATCCTCGCTTTATTACTTCGGTACGCCGCACTAGGCACAGCCCGTTCAAACGGACCCCGAACCTGACGCGCACGCCTTGCTCCTGTACAAGTTGGAACACGACACGGGTCACCCCAGCCAACATCGTGTCCGCTGCTCTCAACTCATATTTTACGAATATCGTCTATCCGTATCTTCATCCCTTACGAGACCCCGGTCTACACTAAAACACCCTCCAAAGCTGATTAGTCGCATTTTGGCACTATTTCTCTGTATCGGCTCGCCCCTAACTACACTAGGTAAGCATCCCTGATACCTGAGATCTATCGTTGAGCCTCCGAGGATACGGATACAGACTACCTTACGTACGGTCTATGCAATCGATACGAGTATCGCACGATCAACAGCCTCCCCATATTCCGTCTATATTTCCTACTCTCGCATATTCTGTCGCCTAAGAAATGCTGCAACATTGGCCCAGCTAGTTTCAGGTCACGAACGATCAGCAAAGACCATTGCACATCCCGTCATCATCTAGTCCTATTCTTAGTTCTACGACTCCCCTATGTCGATTTGATTTTCCTACTTCATACCTCCGAATCAAAGACAACGAGTCAACAAGAGCCACCCCCTAAGTCAGTTCTTGACCGCATCAGGGGCTCGAATTGCATCCGCTCTCGCATATATGCATTTGCATTTGCATCGGCATCGGTATGAGAGCCCCGGTAGCACCAAGCCCGGGCTCCTGGCATCTCAATCCCTTGGACCGACTACCACTGTGCCACTTCACCCTGTCACCCCGTGCCCACTTCAACCCTCAAAGTCTGAAGTCTGAAGCATGCTGAAGGGACTGCGGTGTGCTTCAGCTTCACAATGCCTGCGCCCATCTTCATGCTTGTGCGGCGGCATCTACCGAATGGCCTGGTCATTATCCAACTCTACACAATCCAATCCGAGTGCTACCATCAACAGACGAATTAGTGTTCCATCCAAGCTTCCGGTACAGAGTACGGATACCCTTCACTAACACCGCCGCCGCGGCAAAGCCATGTTCTGGACTATGCAGACCGGGGGGTCCGGCCCCAGGACCCTGGCAATGTTCAATTGTCAGCTGCACGCCGGAATCTCAATCGCTCCGCAAACTTGACTGCCGCCGCCCGTCGCCCTTCCAAACCCGGCGCATTGCTTTTGCGTCTGCACTGACGCGCCTGATCGCCTAATTACCACCAAGCTTCCTGGCCACTTTGCCTCCTCGTTGGAAAACTCGTGAGTATTGACCTGGACCAAGTCGTCGATACCACCGTTTGCGGCTCTACAGAGATACAATTTCTTTGAGCTTTGTCGACAGCCCCAAAAACCCGGCAGTTGAAGGTCGTTGCGCTCTAAAGGCTGGGCCCTCGTGCCTCTCCGCCTGGCTAGACCAACCTAACGCGTTTGGTCATCGCTCGCCTTGTCTATCGATTTCATCTCCGCCATCCGTTACACTCTGTTCAGCCTCGTGGACTATCGTCCTCTGCCCTTTGTGACCTAAGACAAACAGAATCCCGGTCTGGACTTGGCCAAGACTGTCGGGCCGCCCGCTATCTCAGCAATCGCTGTCGCTCGCCTCCTCCCGATTCAGCCCATCTTGGCTGATGGTGGTTGGCGTCCGGAGCTTGCCTGGCCCTCCCTCGCCTCCGTGTCCGTGGGCTCTTCCGGGTCTCAGAACGCCCAGCGGCGCCTCTTCACGCCGCCGTTTGCTTCTTCAGACCGTCTGCTTCCAAATTTACCTCTCGACCCAGACCCCGCGAACCAAACGGCCGACGCCTCGCTCTTGACACCTGAACATCAGTGCTTTGCAACCCCTGTGTGTCCGTCCGTTCAGGTCAATCCTCTCTTCGTCCCATCTCCCCCGGATCCCGAATGTGTGTTTCACACGGACGCCTAGTTGGGCTGGCAGCCCCCGTCCCAGCTTATTTCAAGTTCTTCTGGTAGCATTGCTTGTTCTTTACCCATGAGCTTTGCGATGCTGACGCGTCGGATCTGTCTTGCTACGTCGCAAGCAGTATGCTCTCGTCTGATGAGCCTCACATCAAGAAACTACGACGCTGAAAGCTGAACCCCTGAACCTGATTGAACAAGCACTCGCCTCTCCCTGGTCCTCTCAACTTGGCATCTAATATTTTATTGAGATACACATTTCTTTTTGACTTTCGGGAGCTGCGTCGGGTTTTTGCATGTCTCGAACCTTTCTGGCTGTGTCTATCTCTTGCATAGATCCGCACCATTGAAAACCCACAGAGAAGATGTTTCGCCTTTGATTGAGGTGCAGTAGACGATACAACATAGCCTCAGCGTCAAGCGGGCACTGCATGGCAAATGACAAAGACGGAGAAGGGGGAAACGTCATCGGGCCGCAGGCTGTAAACATGCACGCACCGGCTTGGGCCGAGAACTGCAGAAGAAGCTCGCCGACTCCCCCGCACATGAGACCCCTCTCACCCCCGAAACTGGCTGCCGGGATGAGTCCGTGCTTCGGCCGCGACGACAAACGGCACACGCATAACGTCGTCCCATGTCACGCACCGGCCGCCGACGTCCATCCGCATTTCCGATCTTCTTCTTTGAAACGTAAAACAGACTTTAGGCCGAGAGACGAGGGGGGAAGCAGGCGGCCATATATAGCTCCCCGCGACTTCTCGCGTCTCGCTCTGCACCTATCCGGATTTGTGCTGCCAACCAGCGCCCTTCCCGCGGTGTTGCTCCTGCATCGCATGGTTGTTTCACTTGCAGGTTTCCATCTTGAGTGTTTCTCTATATCCCTTCATATAGGCGAAATCTCCCGCGCGGTCCAGGACATATTTCTCCCCGGCTAGGACCAAGCTCTGGAGCTTTGCACTACTTACGCAGCACAATAAGCAACTAACTATCAACAGACCACTGTTTAACTCTATCGTTTTGCATTACTAGAGGATTGCCGCAGTATATATAGACGCTACCCTGCCCTCAAATTCCGTACTATTTAACCTTAACCCTTTTCTTACCTATTTTTTCCTCTATTTTACCCTCTCTCTTCTTAAGGGATTATTAAAATTATAGTTTTAATAACTTATTAATAAGTTAATATTATTATTTAAAAATAAATAACTTATTTTTATATATAAATACTAAGAGTTTTATTATTATAAAAATAATAATAAATATATTAAAATACTTAAGAGAGCTTTTTAATAAATTTTTAATATTATTTAAAATAATTATTTTTGAATTATAAAAAAAGCTAAAGTATTATATTAATATAATTTTATTTATCTTATTAGTATTAATAATACCCTTTTTAATATAAAATATATTAATAATATTTTATAGCTATATTATTACGTTTTATAAATTATACTTAACGTTAATAAGGCTTTTAATATTATTTATTAAGTTTTTTATTAAAGTTATTATTATAGGGTTAGTTTAGTTATTAATATTTTAATAAGTATTTTAATTTAACTTAGAAGCTTTTATAGTTCTTAAAAAGAGGCTTTTAAAGAACTTATAATTAGACTTTTTATTTATTATAAGCGAAGTTATTATAATTAAAACTATAATAATTAAAACTATAATAATTAAAGCTATAGTACTACTTATAGACCTTAATAATAAGTAATTAGTAATATAATTATTTTTCTTTTATAATAAGCTTAAAAAAGTATTTTAATTTAAGTACTAAATAAGTACTATATTATTTTATTAAAACTATATTCTTATACTTATGACTTAGAAAGAATTAACTTTCTTTAATAATAAGGTACTTAGAACTATTAATAGACGAGAACGCTGGTGTGCTCCCCTGAGAAGCTTCTGCAGTTCGCCGAGCATCGATGCAGTATGCAAACGTATGATTAACAGCGCTATCCCGGCGTGCCATTGTTTGGTGTTTTAGCAGCTCGCGACTTTGTGAGGAAAGTCGTGACCGGCACCAAACACTGTTCAGTTCGCAACCCGTCCTAGATACAGTCAATCTGTGCGGCCCGGCTTGGCGCTTGAAGGAGAATTATTCGTGGCCTTTCACAGGCGAACGTATATGGATGTCGTCTGCTGCGTTGGATTCTGCCGCGGCTTATGATTTTCCGTCTCGCTTTTCTTGATCCCTCTGATACGACGCCCCAGCTCATCACGGGTCTTGGTAAATGAGTTCCATGGCTCCAGCAAAACCACCAGGCCGGTGTTGCCGCTTCATTGATCTGCTGTCCTTCCCTACACCGAAAGTAAAGTCACGATGTTATACGTTTCCTCGGCTTAGAGAACCAAGCCACACCTAGCCAAGCACGGAAGGTAAGGGAACCCATGCGCACGAGACCTCAACAGAGTTCGTCTCGACTGTCCAGTTCCCACTCGGCCCATCTTCTCCACACCCCTCCTCGCATTCTCCATCTCTGCCTCACTTTCTTCAGGGTATTACTCGTTTACTCGTTTGGAAAGGGGAAGCAAAGGTTCAAGGTGCCTGCGAAGGGACGTCTATGGGCTGCGCCACGGGAGGGCTTCTCGCGAGGCTTATTTTTCCTTACTCAATGGGTGACTTGGCACGTTTGCGAAGCTTAAAAGTGTTCATGTGGCAGTCTCGCAACCGCCTCATGATCATGTTTGAAAATCCCGTTGTCGGTTTCCGTTAGGATTTTTGTCCTTGGGTTTTTATTTCGTCCTTTTTACTCATCTCTTCCAAGACTTGGACAGTCAGTATTAGGTTTTAACTAGTCGCCGTAGTCCAAAGGGTCCAGGGGACCTATCCAATACACACGATAAACATCCCATTGGACTAAACCGACTGATTCTTCTTTACTCCTCTACTCTAGGCTCAAGGTTACAAACCTTACTTTACGTACCGGATGGGAAAACATAATACGCTAGGAAACGTGTGTGGCGAGGTTTTGTTTGCTTTGTTGCAGGGGTTCATCTCGGTTTGGGTGAGGCTCCGAGGGAAACCTTGACTCGGCCGACACCGTTGTGCTGCGTGTGCGAGTTCGGGGGAGCAGAGGGAGGTTGGGTATTGAGTGTTATTACTTTTCGTCTTATCTTACCGAGCCGAGGCACCTACCCAACTTCGGCATCCATCCCATGGCATTTGCCATGACCTTGTTTGATCGCATTTTGTTGTTTGCGGGTTCATACCGGTCAACGGAGAGTGGACTCTCCGGACCTCGGAGGTCTAAAGGCTTCTTTCAATCGGGGATTTCAGCTTCATGTTCGATTCGACGCTGATGATTATCAGTGTTACAGTTGTTATTGATGGTACCAAAGTGGCCAGGGTGACGCGACGAGACAGCTACCTCGAGGCATAAGCATACCAATGGTAGAGCTAATTCCGATGATCTACTTGCTTTTTGATACCAATGTGTTTTAGTTCGTTGCTGGATGGTTACCCTTTGATGTCATGAATCGGGGTCGGGTAAGATGCCTATTTGTTGAAGCATGGATTGTGCCTATCATAATACTCTATTGATTCGCTGACTCCTTCGAAAGCCATGTCTTTCTGATAGATTGCGCATAGGCTTAGTGTTTGCTACACTTTGCCATAACGTGTCTTGGAACTGTTGAGTATTCATAGTCAAGTCGATGCCACCTTGCCTCATTCGACTGCCAGAAACTACATAGAAACGGCACCCAGAGAAGATACCCCAGAACCAAACGCGACGATCTACTCTCCATCAGGGGTGTTCATTGTCACCAAACACTCGAAGGATTCCGTTGCTTTAACTACGGCATCCTAATTGAGGCGAGAGGCTTCCCACAACCTCTTTCCTGCCACGACTGCGGTTGCGAAATTACCTACCTTGAATGGGTTTCAGAGCTCCCAGCTAGGAGGCATATGAATTCAATGGGATGGACGAACTGGCATCGTCTGAAACGCAACTCTGGCCATCCCGTACCCCTCTGAGTCTTCGATCACGCATCGAGGGGCGTCAGCAGGTTACGGATTAGGGTCAATGGAAAGAAACCTCGCTAGACACTGACTGGAATCATTTTTCTCTGAAATAGGGGTAGAGAAGTCTCTATAATTTACGAATATGGTTGTCCATCCTCACCTGTGGATCAGATCTGGCCATTGCCGGTGCCACTGTTTTGAGACGCGGGAACCGATCGAACCAGCTGTCCACCAACGGGCAACAAGATAAGCTCTCTCAATGAAGGAGCAGGCGAAGGAATTTCTCTTCATATGTCTCGTCTAACAAAGCTTGGCAACAAGTTCCTGAGGTGAACTCGGCCCCGCATGCACCCACGTTGGTGCCTAGTATAAGTATGGACCCCCGTTCCCTCCCAGTGAAGAGCTCCTTTGTTGGTTCATCTCTCGGCACAAAGATATTCCTCCTCGCTCCCTCCGAATGGCGGAACCTTCATACTCGAGGAACGAGCTCGTCTCGGAGCTCACATCGTACCATGAATTCCTCACGCGGCTCTTCCTACCGCCAGAGGTCGTCCAACACCCTCCCGAGGGCGGCTGGGAGCACATCGCGCCCGACTTCGTCAAATCTCTCTGTCTCGGCAAGAACGACACCGTGGCGGGCCTGATGAGGCATATCCCCTACGTCAGCCGTACCAAGGAGGACCACTGGGATCCGTGGATGGTCTACGAGGGCGCCACCGCTGTCGATTTCACCGGCGACGTCGTCCTGAGCCTGCCCACCAAGTACGCCGACGAGTGGCTCTTCGGGCCTTACGAAGCTAATATCTCGACCGCGCCCCTTCCGCCCCATGTGTTTGTCTACGCGACCATACCGTCCGGCCGCGACGGTCATCATATCCTCATCGACACGGAGCGCGGCACGATTGTTCTTGCGGATCCCCAGACTGGTCCGAAGCCGACCGGGTTATCGGATCCTGTAAGTCTTCCGGAGATGCTTACTTATTCAAGCTTTTCCATGTCTGAATACGCTCCTAATCTTGCGTAATACAGCAAGCACCGGACGGAGAAGCCTGGCGCAGATTTCAAACCTACACAGTTCACGAGTTTTTCGCCATGGCCAAGGAAAAGTTCAAAAAGTTTGAGATGGTACGCGCAATCCCCATGATCCAAACGCTACCATTACTTCTTGATGCTCATTACAATCACAGACTGCCATGAATAGAAAACAAATATATTATATCACCCGGTTACGCCGCACGCGCAGATTTACCGCGAGGAGGGCGTTTTCACGGAACGGTATGACAGAGAGAGATGCATGAACAGGCTGGACGAGTACCAGCAGCAGAAAGATCGGGAGAATAGGCAGAATCGGGGGGAGGAAGAGCCCGTCAGTGCCTCCGCCGAGAGACATATCCACGATGTGAGCGTCTCTTCGGGAGCTGTATCCTGTTATCAGATTTGTTGACGACAAAAGCCTCGACATGCTGGCAAAAGATATTGAGTGGCCATAGAAAAGAATAAATGGATAACAAGAAACATTACTACCACTATCTACAATCTCTTGTAGCATTCAATCTGCCTGTCAGCTTCTTTATACCTCGAGGCACAAATCTTGCACCCATAGATTCACTGCCGAGTAAAGACAAATCTCTCTATTGACTTCGGCTTCACTACGTCCCCGTACGAGAAGACTTACCCCAAATGATAACTAAGTAGATGTTTGCCATGCCCGTTTAGATCCTGTCTCTTGTACAATCGCGGCTTGCTTGTATGAAATTCTCTCTTGCTCTAATAATGCGCCATACGTCCATCCTGTGTACATCCGTTGGGTATACCACTCTATCTGACCTGGCATGCCTGGGAAATCTCGACTCTTGAGAATGTATTTTATTTCGCCATGTCACAATGAGAAGTACGATAGATTTGATAGAGGTACAAAGATATGAGCATGACCAAGCCTTGTTGACATTAATGCTTGAGGCAGGACAGTATATATGAATTGGGTATGACCCCTGAGGAACCTTCGCGTCCTTCTAGCAGAGACTCGCAACATAGGCTGTCTCACAAGGGCAACGAAGCCAGTCGACGATACCGGCGATAAATCTCGGACCACGTTGATTTTTTTCCCCATGACATCGTCCACGGCTCGTGAGCTTATAAACTAGAAGCTCTCGTTTCTCAACCCGCCCCAAGTAATCAATAGATAGAGTACCGACTCACGAGTACAAACGACCACAAACCGGGACCGAGACTGGCTCAGAAGAAAAAGAACAGGGCCCGACGGTAGATGAGTCCACTACGTCCTATCTCAGAGTCTTCTCCCACATCTTTCCCTCGTCTGAGCCAAGGTGACAAGCAGCAGAGATGGCCGCGCCGCAGCTGCCCGCCACGGGCATGACCCTGAATCGCAAACGACGTCTCTCCGTGATAATGAGAAATCCCATCATGAAGATAATTACCACGAGAATACAAAAAACCCCGAGTGGCGACCACCCGTAGGCTGTCACACCGGCAAACGAGTTCCCCTCTACTAGTCGTACCATAGACTTGCCATCAGCTGAAGGGACATATACCTCCAGGTTGACGAGGAAGAAGCTCTGAGAAATGAGCCAGTGAAGTCCCCCTGGAAATATTACAAGAGGGAACGAGTAGCGGTACGGCAGTTGAAGGAAGTAGGTATCTCGCTGAGCTCCACTGCGTGTAGACGAGACGCGAAGGCTCTTTGCCTCCTTCTCGTTGCCGAACCTGTCCCATTCAGTAATCAAGGATATACTGGTGTACTGGGCATTGCAAGTGTAAGTGGAGTAAATGACTGAAAGAATAATTTGAGGCGTGTTGACAAGCAGAATATTAGCAAGTATAGATCCTTGACTCATGTCACCCGTGTCCAGGATGGTCTTGATCTGCATGGCGCCGAGACTTCCGTTGCGGTTAGAGATCACATTGTATTGGACCTTTGGACCAATGTTGGGCAACAAAGTGGTCCTTGGACTCGAGGCACATATCCGCAGTCGACTCATCCTGATCTTCATGGAAAGAGGTCACTGCATCTCCAATGGTCATCAGAGGATCTTCTTCGCCCATTCCGAAGGCGAAGAAGAGCATCAAGACGCCTTTGGCAAAGTTAAACGCTGTCACATTCCAGCAGAGAGTGCTGCTGAAGAGGAGCTTGCAATGCTATTCAGTCTTTTGGCTGTAACATTCCTTGACGCTTGATCCCAGAGGCTTCCAGCCTCCCGACGTAGTTCGCATTTCGACCAGATAGTCCTCGCATGTCAAGTTACCAGCGAGTATGCCGGCAATTCTTTCACCTGATTGGCCGCACATCCAAAGATATGGGTATCCCGGAATATCGAAGACCTCAGCCGTACGATTTTCTTTCTTCTTATCATCAGATACAAAGAGTAAGTTTCCTCGTGAGTACAGGAAAGCGACTCGATAGGCGTCGATGCATCGTGTTGCGCCCATTTCCTCGACGTTATCGCCAAGAAAATTTAAGTACATGTTCTTCCAGTCGGCACTGTCGAGTGCGCCTTCGGTCTTGTTCTTTGAAATGTACGCACTCGTATTCAAGACGCTGTAGTCGTTCACTGATGTCGAGCTGAAGATGATGGAGTTGTATCTGATTGTTGATCAGTAAGGGCTCCGAGGGGGGGGGGGGAATAGTAAAAGAGAAGATGAGGAAGTGTAATAACCATACTTACACCAGACGTAATGGAAGGGATGAAGCTGCAATCAATACTCAGAAAATCTTCTTCTTCCATGTGATGTTCCAAGAGTTTCGAACACTGGCGACCCCAACGTCGAGCCATTGTTGTCTGGCGCGTGCATCGTCAATCTCTGGTCGGGTTGGTGCCATTAAGCCTTGCATACAGTAGTTACTACCCGCAAGAAGAATTATAACAAGGACGTTGATCAGAATATGGATCCCGGTTTTAGTATTCGGATGGTTGAACAGTCCGTATCAAGCAGAATACCCACACCGTCACTTATCGTGTCACGTTTCTGGATGCTCGCCCATAGTGTAAATACAAAGTTGATGAAAAAGGTTGAGAAGGCTGCCACGGCGAAGTAAAACGCAGCTTGTCGCCATCGACTTTGGGAGAACTTGGATCTACCCATCGTGATGGTTATCGGTGACGTTGATCGGAGAAAACGCAGAAGAGCATGCTGGAATAGAAGAACATGAGCCAAGGCGAGATGGGAGATAAAAGGCCTATGATAGAATTGCAGACACAGGGAAGGTCTTTCTTCGATGCAGCCTGATCTTTAATTAGCCATACCGAGCGATTGAAGGCTGGTTCGGGATGCAGCATGCCTGCCCAGGTTCACCTCCGTGTAGGATTTGATGACTACAGCCTCAGTAATATGCATACGCCTTCCACTCAACGAGGCAGCCTCTCAAACCAGAGAAACTACCTAAGGTACCTCAGGTAGGATCCCGTTTCCAGCATAAAATACGCCAGTAGTGACTGCCGACAAAACTGTCACTCAAACGCCCGTCACTCTCATTTCGCACTCAGGTAAGGCCTCAAGACATTTTAAAGCGAGAAATCCATCGCAATCGGTATACCTACTTTTCATCTACCGTACGTCCAGATTCTCCTTCATGCTGTTTCAATTGTGATATTTCCGTGCCGTAAATGCGACCAACCGTGCACCCATACACCAATATTTTTGTGATCCCTCATGATAAATACCCGGCCATCCTCAAATCTTATCCGTTTCCACTTGTTCGTTTCCTCTCCATCTCAAAGATGCTTAAACGAAGCCCTTGAGCACAGCAGCCTCAGCATTGAGGATCGACGAGCCAGCAGCGCCAATAACGGTGTTGTGGCTAAGCGCAACAAACTTGATATCAAAGATTCCGCTCTCATCCTCCCGAACACGGCCAACGCTGACGGTGTACCCCCTACCGAGGTCGCGATCGAGTCTCGGCTGCGGCCGGTCAGGCTCGTCGTGCACGAGGATAGGGCTCTCGGGCGCGGAAGGGCACCCAAGCTTCTGCGCCTCGGAGACGTACTCGCGCAGCGCCTTCTTGACCTCCTCGGCCGAAGGCGCGGGGCGGCGCGCAAACTTGAGCGAGACGCAGGCCGTGTGGCCGTCGAGCACGGGCACGCGGTTGCACGCCGCGCTGACCTTGAGCTGGCTCTGGTCCTCGAACGCGGTGAGGTCCGAGGTGATGGTGCCGAGGATCTTTTGCGCCTCCGTCTCGAGCTTGTCCTCCTCGCCCAAGATGAAGGGGACGACGTTGTCAATCATGTCCATGGACGAGACGCCCGGGTAGCCGGCGCCTGAGACGGCCTGCATGGTGACGACGGAGACCTGATCGACGGGGCCGAAGACGGCTTGCAGGGCCGCGAAGGGAATGACGAGGCCGATGACGGCGCAGTTGGAGTTGCAGACGAGGAAGCCCTTTTCGAGGTTGTGCTGCTTGCGCTGGTGGGGGATCAGGTCGAGATGGGGGAGGTTGACGGTGGGGACGACGAGGGGCACGAGGGGGTCGCGGCGGTAGTTCTTTGCGTTGGAGAAGACGGCGAGGTTGGCCTTGAGGAATTCCATCTCTGTTTTGGCCGTGGTGGTTAGCCATTGTTTCTCAATCTAGGCGAGTGCAGTCCTTCCTTCGCAGGCGTTGGAATAGCAGCACTTGGGAATACTCACCAATCTGGCCGGCAACGTCAGAGTCGAGACCGCTGAAGATGACGTCGCAGTCGCTGAACTCAGAGGCCTTGCACTCGCGGACGACGAGGTCGGCGACGGCGCCCATGGGCGAGGCCTGCTTCCACCTCACGGCATCGCGGTATTTCTTGCCGGCGGAGCGGGACGAGGCGCCGACAGCGACGAGCTTGAGGTACGGGTGCTGCGACAGAAGCAGGATGAAGCGCTGGCCGACGGAGCCGGTGCAGCCGAGAACGCCTTGAGGTGGACTCTGAATTAGCTTTGGATTGTTGGATACATCTTGAAAGGCGCCAAAGTTTGCAATCTGCCGATGTCGAGGTTTCCCGATGGCGGAAGGGCGGCAATGGCGGGGTGGAGGGGCTAAAACGTACCGCACTTCTTGACGGGGAATTCGCCCATTGTGAAAGATGACGAAGGGGTATCGAGGGTATCAATTGTCGAAAAGGAGGAATTGGACTGAATCAGCGAGGGCCACAGCTTGGAGATAAATAGAGAAATTGGGCGGGTTGGCAATGTGAGTCAAGGGGAGAGTGGCATGTCGCCGGCGGCGCCCCGGCCCAATAATTTTTGGGGTGAGCGACCGACGTCGGTTGCACCCCGCCATGCCCCGCCATCGGAGCTTTGGCTGTCGATGGACAAGATATTTCCCACTTCCATTGACGAACTTCAGTCTCCACACCCCACCACCTCAGCCAACGATCCAATGATCGTCAATCCAAAGACCGGCCGGGATCTGACGAACATCGATTGCAGCATCCGGTGAATAAGAACCTGGTCTCATTGGTCTCGCAACAGCTGTTATCATCGTCTGTCACCATCCCAGTCGTTCGATATGAGGCAATCCCCGGATTCCGTCGAATTACTACGCTCTCCCGTACCTGAACCCTTTGTGCCGCCTGCAATTCGCGAAACAACTCATGAGCGGATCTAGAAAACGCCTTTTGCGGAAACAGTTCATGCGTTTATTGTCTTTCCTCCTCTAACACTAAAGCAATGCTGGTCGAAAACATTCCGATGTGACCCAACCCCCAATGACCCAGCATCCTACTAAGCCGCCGTCAACAAAAAAACACTTGAGACAGATCAAATCACATCTGCGGCTGACACAGGCCGACCAAGCATCGACAACTCAAGTCCTGGTTCTTCGGCCGCTTCTTCATCATTCTGTGGGGCGTTTCCATCAGGGCCTTGCAATCTTCTTGCAACTTTCAGAGTATTGAACTGGTCCAGATTTGGAACGAAGCAAGCGGCGATCAGGAGAATAGCGGAGAAAGGGATGATGGCAAGGAAGATCGATCGAAGCGAATAACTGTATCCGGCTTGAATTGCGTTGGTAATTGCAAACCTGGAGAGTATGCTCACTGATGTGAACGCCGTCAAGTTGGTTTTCCCGTTCATTGTTGCTTGCTCTCGGATGGTGGTGGCCAGTTGTTTCAAAATGGGGCCGGGCAGGATAGCGTCCAAGACAACTGGCGTGACGGACTTGGTCAGCTCCTCCTCCAGCTTTTTCCTCAATAACAAGGTAACTAATGCCCTTGCGAAGGCACAGCCCAAGCTACACATTGAGCCGAGGACTCCTGATGCGAGGCCGATATCTTGCGGTTCCCACACAAGGGTGACACCAGTGATGGCAACGGCAACAATGTGGCCAAGAGCTAAGACGTATGTATCAGTCAAAAACTCTCAGGCAACGCCTGGCGATCGCCGCAAGACTTACCAAAAGACGCACATATGCCCGCTAGAACAATTAGTCCATGGCGGATGTCAAACCATATTGTGCATAATGGAGCCATGAGAGCCAGAGCGACACCTGACGCTACCATACACTGTTTTCTGAAGCGTTCACCACGTAGTGACGGAACAGCTGTCAAGGCTATTCCGAGTGTGGCACCAAAGGGTAGCAATGAGGCAGACCAAGCAACCGTGTTCGAGTCCTTGTTGAAAACCTTTCCGATAACAAATGGCCAGAGGACGGTGAGGGCATAAAAAACCATCGAGGAGAAAGTTGCACAAGCAACGAGACTTGCGAACTGGACATTCTTGAACATCTTTGGAGGCATGAGAGGCTGTTCGGCGGTGGAAAATGCTTCTGCGATACGTTAGAAGATATGTCAGAATATTCGAATGCGATCCAACCTTACCGTATATTACAAACAAGACAAGCGCTGAGAAACCACCGACTAGGGTTCCAATGACCTCTTTGCTGACAGAAGGGTACGAGGAGATTCCCAAACAGAACCCGAGTGGCAACAAAACGCAGCCAGAGACGTAAAGGAAGATGCCGACAAAGTCCAAATGCTTGATCATCTCAAGCTTGGTCTTCCCAGCCACATTGAGCTGCTAGAACGAAGGTGGGCGATAGAGTCCCAGATACAAGAGAAAGGAGACGAAAGCCAGAAAGGCTCCCGTGTAATAGCCCCAACGCCATTGCACCGGGCTGCCATCGTCCAACAATGATGGGATTATGGCAGAGCCCAAACCAGCAACAAGGAATGGCAGTACTAAAGTACCGGCAACTGTTCTTGCTCTGTCCTTGTTCGGCACGAGTTCGGCTACAGCGACTCCAAGAGGTAGCTGGGCGGCAGCAGCCATTCCGTTGCAGATATTGGCGGCGATGAGCATCTCGGCGTTGACCGCAAAGGAGCCGAGGAGGCAGCCGACGACTCCCAGAAGGGAGGTTCCGACAATGAAGTGCCTCCGTCCGTACAGGTCTGAAAGCCGACCGAGGAGGAGAAATCCGATGGAGCTTCCCATGAACTACATGATTGGCGTCCAATGCACCTTGTCTGTCTGAGGTAGGTCTGTATGGAACAGCACACTATTGTTTGTCATTAGTATGAGCCAAGGGAGGCCGTATTGTGTTCATGATCACAGCACGTACCTCGTGTTTCCGGGTGCTACCCAACCCAGAAACGCAGCTGTGATGGCCAATGATTGGGCCTGGAGTGTATCAGTCAGATTTAATAACAACAACAAGATGGAATGGATTACTTACCAACATCAATAGCCAGATTCTGCCACTTTCTGACGAGATGGTAGTGCCGAGAGCGTCCCTGTCCACATTCCGGACGGTCCCATCGATGTGTGTTACCTGGAGATGGCTTCCCATGTTTTCGAAGTCCCAGCAGTCGTCATTTATGACGGCTTCTCCTCGAGAAGCTTGTTGCGTTTGCGGGTTTCGGACGACCCTGACCACACCGTCGTCGACCATGTCTGTAGATTTTGTTTGAACTTGAGTGTCTGGTATTGAATAGTTCAAGCGAAGTGCCAAGAAAAGAATAGCTGTGATTATGCCTGCGGGTGATGATGTGTTGGTGTGATGTAGCTCGGAAATAGAAAGGAGACGTGGGAGAGGCAGACATGCCCTTATGTCCTCGCCGATCGTCGTCTTCCTTCCACCCACTACTACTTTATTGGAGGAAGTTTCTACCTTCCAACCTGCCTAAGGTACCACAGAGATCTCAGATTTATCAGGCAGGTGTTGTGTTGGGCGAAGATCGCGAAGACGAATTGGACGGTAACCGTCCTTGCCCGATGAAGCTTTTGAGTATCTGGGAAGTAGCGCTCTAGAGCTGCGCGAGGATCCAAGTAGGTACCTCACAGGCCCCTGTGTCAACTCACATAGATTCTGGAGTGGAAGGTTCAGCCATGTCGTATTCAGTCTTGCTAATGCACATACCTGGGCCTGAATCGGGATACTGAGAGACAAGATAAGGCCAAGAGTGCCCTGAGGTAAGAATGGGAGACGCCAAGGGCCTTCCCGCTTACAGAATCTTTCGTGTGCTGTTCAGCAGAAGATGTACTCGAGTACCTTCTTCAAGGAGTATTGGCGTGACCTCAATTGCCCTGCCCTCTCAGCCCGCAATGAGATGCGTTCTTGAATGCTGAGATTCATCATTGTCGATCTTTCCCTCTTGGAAGCAGTGCGATGTTTGCAACCTGGGAAACCTAAGCTACCTAACTTGAACCAAACGATGATGAAGTATCATCATCGACGAGTCCCCCAATAATCAGGCATGAGCTCTACTGACTGGACTTGGATAATTGAGGACACATTATATACACATTTAATGTGTAAGCCTATTCCATATCGAATCAATTCTTCAGTATGATCGCCATTACATCTTCCAAAGGGCACATTCCACAAACCATGAGGCTAGAAGAAAATAGGAAATCAAAGTGATTTTTTGAAGGGGGAACAGACGATGGACGAAATAACTGAAGAAACATAAGAAAAAAGAGACTGTTCAAGTTGCCTGTGTGGAAGAGGTGTGGAGGGAGAGTGTAGGAGGATGAGCAGGAACCAATGCTCCGCAAGGCATTTTCATCACCATATTCTCGACAAAGAATATTGTACTTCAGCTTGCACTTTAATTTGTTTAGAAAAAAATCCATAAGTCTCATGATGTCATTGTCTTGCTGTCTCTTTCAGCGGTAATATTAGCGATGAAGTGAGTAAAGCTCGTGTTCGTCTTACAGCTCATCTTCGTCTTAGAACCCTCAATGCCTCATCTCTCACTGGTGAAACTTGACCGCAATATTTGGTCACCTCCATGTAACGTAGATGCATCAGACGGAAGGCAGGAGCAACCCTCATGATGGGTTGAGTATCGCCTGAGGCAGGAGTCTTCAACTTGTACCTGCCGTATTCGTCAGTCGTATTCTGCCTGCTTCCCAGATTTCCCCGGGTGAACAAAGTCTCTCCACTTGGAGCGCACAAACTCCTTCTCAACTTGTTCTCACCCACATCAGACGAGAGCTGCCGTCCCAAAATCGCGATGAGGGCAGCCCATCTCATCGCCGCGCAAGAAACGATGAGTGGGCTGGTGAGAGCATCCCATACCTATTCTTTCAATCGGAATTCTGATAACTGACTTGCTGAACAGCTCTCTCGATATTTTGCTTCAACACTACAACAGTCTGCTTCAAAAACTTGTTCGAAAAATCTGCTCGAAAATTTGCTCGAATAACTCGCTCAAACAATACTGCAGGAGCAGGCAGAGCCCCTTGTTCACAAGGGTGCTCTCGCCCTCCTTGCAATCACCTGTCGGGTCATGACCTCACCTCACGAAGGGCGGGAGCAAGCTATCATCGACAAGGCTGCTCCTGCCCACCCTGCAACTATCGTGAGTGAGGTCACAAACACCTCACAAAGGGGTGAGAGCAGACAAGCCTGTCACTCATGAGGCTGCTCTCTGCCCTACCCTTTGTGATTTAAGGTCATGATCTCACAAAGGGCAGGAACAGGTGAGAGCTCTCGTTCATGAGGCTGCTCTCGCCTCTTCTGTGAGATTATGGCCTTTCATCGCAAAGGGCGGGAACAGACGAGGCTGCTCTCGCCTTTTTGCAACTCTCGTGAGTGAGGTCATGACCTCACAGAAGGCGGGAGCAGGCCGGGC